AGCTTATATGTGCGGATGGTGTAATGGATAATGGCTTGGAATTGTTAATCGGAGAGCCAAGTTCAAATTTCGGTTAGGTTCGTTACACTCACTGACGCGCAAATAGCCTTGTGAAAGATATGAATTCACCTAAATCATTATCATCCCTCCCCTGCCCGATCACAAAAATCTTACAATCTAAATTATTTTCTGGATTTAAATAAGCTGCAAAGGGTTAATAAGCCGGGGGACAAGAAGCTATCAATCAAATATAACGCAAAGATAAGCCTTTTCATGGAACTAAAATCACCGCTTTATTGTCTAAGCCGGAAAAATAAAGAAAAAAACATTTTCCTATTTCCTATCATTTTTGAAAATTGTAGATTTCAGACATTGTCTCAATCCCAGCACTCTCTAACAATGAATTAATTTTGAATCCCATGTAGACATGAAAGAGGACTGGGCAAAAATTGGTTTGATGCACACACAGGAAAAGAAAGGGGGTAGTAGTACCAGTCCAATAGGTTCACTAGGCAAAACAAATCCACACTTCTCTCCTCGCCTCGATCTCTAATACGCCATTAAACCGTCAGAAACGAAAAGCGGACTACCGTTGAATGAGTGTACCATGATTTTATGCACCTGATCCAGCCAGCACTCAGTCAATAAGCATCCAGAACCAGCCAATAAAAATGGCTACAAGCGATACCACCACTTTCATAAGCATAAAGTGCTGCCTAATTCACCGTCCGTCCGAAGTTCGCCGATTCGCCGTCTCTACACTCCCTTACAAAACATATACGCGACATTGGTCCTTGTGGGTCTCCGAGGTAAGTCCCGGTTACAAGAACCTTATCAACAGACGATTTCCTCGGGTTACTGAAAGCTTCTAGCTTCGAAGTCCGTTCGTTTTTGCCGTCGATTCTGTGAATTGGTTAATTTCTTATTGTCAGTGTAATAATGTGCAGAATTTATTTAGTTTCTTTTTCCAACAAAGAAGAAAAATGATATTCGTTACCGTAAGATAAATAACTGGACAAAAGTTAGGCCTATTAACAGGATGCATGGAATCCAATGACGGGATACTGAACGTAGAAAAAGAAAAATATTTGAACAAATACATCGGAGAACATTTCCACGACGAGAGAGAACCGCACTGTTCACAAAGAAAGTATGGAAAGACAAGAAATATTAAAATTTGAAATGAAAAGAAACAGAGCAATAGAAAGCAAGCGGAATTGTAACAGAGGTGCCAGCAGATTACAGACATAATAAATGAAATATAAAACAGTGGTGAAATACCGGAAGAGCTAAGTAAATCTATTTTCAAGGGATTGCCTAAGAAACCAGGTGCAAACGAATATTAACACCATCGGACAATCAGACTGATGTGCCATATAACAAAACATATAAACTGAATTCTGATTAAAAGAGAGCGTGGCAGAATCAGGTCTGAAATAGGACAACAACAGTGCAGTTAAAGGAACCGGAAAAGGAATGCGATATTCATGCACGGAAGGATATCAGAAATATCAATACAAACGCAGAAGGTTGTGTACTTGTGTTTTATAGTGTTGTGACCAAGTAATGGTCAAGAAATAACAAAATAAGAGGTAGCAGATAAATAGTGTATTGAACAGTAAATACAACAGAAGTGTGTTACACGACTTGGGAGTGTGTGTCGGTTGACCAGCATTCAGTCTATATCACTGTTATATTTAAGAGTCCCTCCCACAACACGAGGCTTATATATGGCACAAGGCCGAGTTTAACGTGGGTCATCCGAGCCCGTAGGCTTGGCCAAAAAATCCCCGTAGAACCCGCGGGAGGTAAACAGACCCAAACGGGTTTGGGTATGTTTACCTCCCCGGACGAGACTCCGCCCTTCGGTGCAGCCTCTTCCGGGTTCCTCTCTGCCCAAGACAGAGAGTTCGACAGGAGTTGCGAACAATCTGTATCATTGTTAATATTTAACAGCCCACCCACGAAGGATATATGTGGCACAAGGCTGAATTTAACGTGGGTCATCCGAGCCTGTTGGCTTGGCAAAAAAAAAAAAAATCCTGTAGAACCTGCATAAACGGGTTCAGGTGTGTCTACCTCCCCGGACTAAACTCTGCCGTTCGGTACAGCCTCGTTCGGGTTCCTCTCTGCCCAAGGCGGAGAGTTCGATAGAACCTATGAACAGTCACTGCCCAGGAAGAACAGTCTATCACTGTCCTGTGACGTCGTCCCCCGGTCGCAGCGCCAACTGTGACGTTCTATCCTGATCTACCACGGAGCCAGTTGTGACGTCCCCAAACAGCACCAATTGTGACGTCCTCGCCGCGGCGCCAGCTGTTCGCTCCTCGCTGCTCCGTCCGGGTGTCGCGTCAGTCGTGTTGTCTCGTCCTGTGACGACCAACTGGCTTGGTATCGGTCGCGGCACCCAAATTTGACGTTCTAACCTTTTGGTGATTCGGATGGGAATCTGGTTAGATTTGATATCAGCCTCGTCGTTCCCAACTCGCTTCCAACGCCTGCTTACCAAGGTAACTGCATTGATCTCCAGTCTGCCTACCCACGTTGTGAATTGATCTTAGACAGACGAGATCAAACAGTGGTTGGGGCCGTAATGCAAATTGAGTTCAACGGGGGTGATACTACACAAATATGCATAAAAGAAAATAAAATGAAAAACTCAAAAGTTCAAAGTATCAAAGAAAAAGGTAACAAACTTTATGTCTAGTTGTTCGATACATAGGACTGCATCTATCTCCCGACCCGTTCTGTGGATTGTGACACGTCGTTTCCGCTAGGCAAGTTTTAACGCTTCAAGTTGTCTGCTCTCTAAGAAATTGGTGTTTCGGTGTGTCTTTGGACGAAAGTCGAAAAAACTTATTTCGGTGGTCTGGTTCTAAGTCGCTCTTCAAAATAATTGTTCTTGGGTTGAAGATGAGTCCGGAATTTGCGTGAATCTTGGTCAGCTATCTCGAGGCGGTTTCAACTGGAGACTGACTCTGGGAACTCAACTCTGGAAACTCGAGCCCGAACTCTGGATACTCATCTCTGCCGCCAGAGCCCGAACTGATTTCTGCCTGTTGGGGCCTCGCTTTTATTGGCGCCGACCAAAACCGGGTTGGGTCTGTTGGCGTCGGGGGGTTCCTCGATAATTCTAAATACATATCCACCTCTTTTATTTCTGGTTAGGGATTTTCCTCTTTTCCATTTTGGGGAACCCTTCCTCCTCCCACTTTCTCACCATACCTCTGAGGGGCGTGAACTGCCCTCCCCACTTCTTCGTAGCAGCTTCTCATACTTATATTCTGGATGGGGCGTCGACAGCCTTCTTCGTGCGTCACGTGATCACTCTCAGCCAATGAGGTCTTGGTCGGGTATCTTTCCTCCTCCTTCGTGCGTCACGTGATCACCACTTGACCAATGATGTCTTAGTCGGGCGTGAACAATTCGTGGCTTTGTTTCGGGAAAAAAAATATCTTGCTTAACTAAAAGAATTATCTCTTCTCTTTCGCTTAAATCGCCGTTATCATTTCTCTAGTCACGGACAATATGACAACTTCTTGTTTTACACGTGGTGTTTGTCAGGTATCTTATCGCTAATTCATCAAGATGGGTGGTATTCTTAACATGGCTTCAAAAAAGAAATATCCCCAAAATTTTCAGTCAGTCTGTCGCCTCCAAGGAAGAAAGAAAAACACTCATGGTTCCCTATTCATTTTCCTTCGGTACATCCTCCTGATAACATAATTTTATTATCGCAGACCAAGTTGTTTCGTCGAAAAGAATTCGGTCAGCGCACTGCTTGTGTGGGATTTAATTTTTCATATCTGTCCAAAGTCCTTTTTAGTGGCCTGTTTCTCGTCACTTATCGAAATAGCATTTTCACTTGAATTTTTCCGTGGCCAGTGGTCTAGATAACATAGCCGTTATCAAAACACATCTGGTTCCTTCTTTCTTTTCCCTTTCTTTTTTTACTCAGAAATTCCCTGTCATTGTAATGACACCCTTTTTCATTTGTTACTTATCAATATTTTCATTGTCTCTTAGCCGTGTGTGTGTCTGCTTATCACCTATGAATCGTCTCGCATTTCTTTCTGCCTTCTTTTCTTTCTCTTCCTTTCTCTGCCTCGTAAATGGTGCCACAGTTCCCCCGAGGCTTACTTTCCTACTATTTTATAGTAAGTGGAAGAGTCCACTATAGCCTCATTAGAGTAAAGATCCCCAAAACACATAGATTATTCAAATGCTTTTGTCAAAGTATGTCTCAGAAAACTTCTGGGATTGCTTGGTAACCATAACATATTTTACAAGGATATCCTGAATCTATACTGGCGGCAAACTACATGAATAGGGATGGAAAATGGGTACATAGCAGGGTAGACCGGGTTTTATATCCTCGGATGCAGAAAGAAATGGCAACCTACTGTAGAAAAAATATCTGCCTCGTCAGTCATGTATCGAAAGATACATGATCGCCTAAGCGTGTATCACCCATGGAATATAACTGAATGGAATATACAAAAATAGAAAGTGGGTGTAAGACATGAATGTGTCTTCAAATTGGACTTATTCAATATGGCGATTCTGGGGGAATTAGAAGCCCTGCCAGGATTCATTATTGACGGCCACAATCTTAACAAGAAAATATATGCAAATGAAATAGTGCTGATTGCAAACACAGAAATTAAGCTACGAGAACGGCTACAGAGGGTGGTGAAAGAAATCGAGAGGAAAGGACTAAACACTAATTACAAGAAGACAGAAGACATAGTTGTCAACAAAAGAAAAATCCCAACATGCAACTTACCAGTTGGAGATAACAAGACCAACCAAATATCGGAGGACTGTTTTAACAGTGGATGAAAACTTTGATGCTGAAATCCGAATACGCACTGGGATATCGAATGATGCATTCTGAAACCTAAGCAAAGTATTAAGAAACAGAAAATATTTGATACAAAAAAAGAAAAGTATGTAGTATCAGTTCTCTTATATGGCAGTGAATATTTGACAAACTCCTC